CCCAGGACCCAGACTGGAGACAGCCTGACCTTGGGCACGGCCCTCCCCATCCGGACCAGAGTCTCTGTTTCCCTCCGTCTGCAGCATTAACTTGCTCTCCCTGAGCCTCCCTGGAGGTTCTAGTGGCAGTTCTTCCTCAAGGAACCCTTAAGCCTAACTCTATTCTTTTGTCTTTTTGTTTCAGACAGTGTCTCGCTCTGTTGCCCAGGCTGGAGGGCAGTGGCACGATGTCAGCTCACTGCAACCTCCGCCTCCCGAGTTCAAGCGATTCTCCTTCCTCAGCCTCCCAAGTAGCTGGGATTACAAGGGGCCTGCCACCACATCCAACTAAGTTTTGTATTTTAAGTAGAAATGGGGTTTCTCCATGTTGGCCAGACTGGTCTTGAACTCCTGACCTCAGGTGATGCACCTGCCTCAGCCTCTCAGAGGCCTGGGATTACAGGCATGAGCCAGCATGCCCAGCCCCTTAAGTCTAACTCTACTCCCTCCTGCTGCAATGCCATCCTCCACCCACAGAGAGGCAGCAGAGAAGAGCTCCAGGGTTTGGATCTCCATGGGAAAGGCACATGACTTTCCCCTCTCTGTGCCTCAGTTTCCCCATCTAAACCAAAACTGCCCAGGAAGAAGGGGTCTAGAATCAAGCTGGAAGGGTGTGCCTGCAGTCTCTGAGATTCATGACTGCTTTTCCCAGGTCACAAGGGTGCTGGGGTCACAGGGACCTGCCTTGAAATCTCAGCTCTCCCCAGTTCCTCACCGTGTGACCCGGGCAGTGAGTTCACTTCTCTGTGCCTGTTTCCTCCTCTAGAAAATGGGGATTTCAGCTGAATTTCCTTACAAGGTGTTGAGAGGATTAAGTGGGCCAATTATTAGTTGAAGCTCAGCTCCTCTGTGAGTAGAAAAGGGTGAGGAGGAGGCCCTGGCCTGGCGGATGGGGTTAGGGTAAAGGCCAGCAGTGTGGAGACAGACACAAACTTTATTCGTTCATTTATTCCACAGAATTTTATTTAACCTGCTCAGTAAGCCTGTGAAACAGAATCTGCTATCATGCTCTCATTGCCATCACTGTTATTCTGAGACTGAGTCTCACTCTGTCGCCCAGCCTGGAGTTCAGTGACATGATCATAGCTCACTGCAGCCTCACACTGTTGAGTTCAAGCCATCCTCCCACCTCAGCCTCCCAAGTAGCTAGAACTACAGATGCTCCCTGAGCCCAGCTAATTTTTTAAAATTTCTGTAGAGACAGGGATTCACCTTGTGGCCCAAACTGTTCTTGAACTCCTGGTCTCAAGGACTCCCTCCTTCTGCCTTGGCCTCCCAAAGTGCTGTGACTAGAGGAACACACCCCATGCCCAGCCCCCATTCCCATTATTAAAGTCACAAAGGGCCGGGCACAGTGGCTCATGCCTATAATCTCAGCACTTTGGGAGACAAAGGCAGGTGGATCACTTGAGGTCAGGAGGTCGACACCAGTTTGTTGGCCAAATTGGTGAAACCCAGTCTGCACTACAGATACAAAACTTAGCTGGGCGTGGTGGTGCACGTCTGCCCTCTCAGCTACTCGGGAGGCTGAGGCAGGAGAAACGCTTGAACCAGGGAGTTTTTATACAAAAATCATAAAAATAAAGTCACAAGGAAGGCACAGAGAGGGAAAGCCACCTGCCTAAGGTCACACAGCTAGCACAAGGAAGAGTCGGGGCTCAGCATGTTGAATCCTCTTTTCCCCAGTGAAGCAGGTCCTGCTATTAAAAACAGGATATTTGGCCAGGTGTGGTGGCTCACACCTGTAATCCAAGCACTTTGGAGGCCAAGGGGGGTGGATCACCTGAGTTCGGGAGTTCAAGACCAGCGTGACCAACATGGTGAAACCCCATCTTTAAAAAAAAAAAGAAAGAAAAGAAAAAAAACGTAGGATATTTGATGATGACAATCATAATTATATTATTTTATTTATTTTATTTTTTTGGAGAAGGAGTCTCACTCTGTCGCCCAGGCTGGAGTGCAGTGGCATCAACAATCTCGGCTCACCGCAACCTCTGCCTCCTGCGTTGAAGCGATTCTCCTGCCTCAGCCTCCCAAGTAGCTGGGATCACAGGTGCACACCACCACACCCAGCTAATTTTTTTTTATTTTTAGTTGAGATGGGGTTTCACCATGTTGGTCAGGCTGGTCTCGAACTCTTGATCTCGTGATCTGCCCACCTCCGCCCCCCAAAGTGCTGGGATTACAGGCATGAGCCACCTCACCCAGTCTATAATGTTATATTATTATTTATTGTAATAAAACTAATAGCAACTAAATTGCATTGAGATATTTCTATACATCAGGCCCCATAGGACAGAGTCATATTTTCTTGATGTGGTTCACTCTACAGATCAGGACGCTGAGGCTCCATGAGGGTAAGTAATTGCCCAGAAGTCACAAAGCTAACGAGCAGGAGAGAGGTTTTGCACCCAGGCCTCAGTTCAAAGCAAAATAGGACAAGGAGGCCAGGTGTGGTGGCTCACACCTGTAATCCCAGCACTTTGGGAGGCCGAGGGGGGAGGATCGCTTGACCCTGAAGTTCAAGACCAGCCTAGACAACACAGTTCCCTCTCTACAACTTTTTTTTAATTAGCTAGGCATCATGGCACATGCCTGTAGTCCCAGCTACTTGGGAGGTTGAGGCAGAAGGATCTCTTGAGCCCAGGAGTTCAAGGGAACAGTGAGCTATGATCTCACCACTGCACTTCAGCCTGGGAGACAGAGCCAGATCTTGTCTCAAAAAAAAGCAGGACGAGACCCAATAATTGAGCCAGATGGGAACTTAGGGCCTGCCCAGACCTACTCTCTCTTCTTAGAAAGAGAAATTGAGACCCCTGAGAGCAAGAGAGCTGCCTCAAGCCTACAGACTTCCAGATGGAATTTCATTTCCCTCTCAGGACCTTGCAGGTAAATTCCTGGCCTTTCCTCCCCCAGGATGGGTGGGGAAAAGCAGCAGCAGCGGGGTGGAGATCTGAACAGGTACAAAGGGCAGCCTGCGTGAGGGCAAAGTGGTTAGACACCAAGCAGAACTTCCGGGCCTCCTCTGGAAAGTTTCTGAGACCCATCAGGCCCCGGCAGGTGGGGGCCCTCCAGAGCACGAGGCTCAGAGAGGGGAGACCCTAGTCCTTTCCACCTGGGGTGCAAGGAGCAGGGGGGAGTCAGGGGGGCCATCCTGGTTCTGCATCCTCCATTCCCGACACTGGAGGGAGGCCGCTGTGGGAGCCGGGACTTTCCTGAAAGCAGAAGATTCTGGGAAATTAGAGACAGCTGTAGGGCGGGGCTGCCTCCCAGCCTCCCTTCCCTTCCCTCCCCTTGGTCTCTGCTGGCTTTGTAGGCATGCCTCTCTTCCCCTCCACCCCACTAGCTCCTCCTCTCCTTGACCGTGCCCTCCACCCTCAAACCCTCATAACTCTTCCCCCATACCTCTTTCTCCTCCCTCAGATCTGGCCTCTACTCTCAGACTCTCCAAATCTTCTTCCCTCAGACCTCTCTTTCCCTCCAACTCTCTCCTCCTCCCTCAGAGCTGTGTCCCCTCACTTAGTGCTTCCCAGACTTCTTCAGACTGTGCCCTCTCGCTCAGATACTCTCCTCTCCCCTAGGCCCTCACCTCCTCCATCAGATCCTCACTTCCTCCCTCAGATCCTCACCTCCTCCCTCAGACCCTCACCTCCTCCCTCAGACCCTCACCTCCTCCCTCAGACCCTCACTTCCTCCCTCAGAACCTCACCTTCTCCTCAGACCCTCACCTTCTCCCTCAGACCCTCACCTTCTCCCTCAGACCCTCGCCTCCTCCCTCAGAACCTCACCTTCTCCTCAGACCCTTACCTCCTCCCTCAGACCCTCACCTTCTCCCTCAGACCCTCACCTCCACCCTCAGAACCTCACCTTCTCCTCAGACCCTCACCTCCTCCCTCATTTATCTCCTCCTTCAGACCCTCAACCTCCTCCCTCAGACCTCCACCTCCTCCTTAAACCCCTCACCTCCTCTCTCAAACTCTCATCTCCTCCCTCCAAACCTCACCTCCACCCTCAAACCCTTACCTCCTCCATCAGACCCTCACCTCTCTCAAACCCTCGTCTCCTCCCACCGAACCTCACCTTCATCTTCAGACCCTTACCTCCTCCTTCAGACCCTCATCTCCCCCATCTGGCCCTGTCCTCCTCCTTCAGACTCTCCCCTCCTCCCACTAAATCATCTACTTATCTTAGTCCTGTCTTACTTCTTCATATCCTCCTCCTTCAGACCCTTTATCCCTCATCCAACCTCAGAGAACCACCGGCACCCTCTCTCCCAGCCCTTTGAAGCCCCCACCGGACCCAGCACGTCTTCCCTCTTCAGTCTTGCTAGGTTGGAACCACTGCCCCACCTGCCCCAGGGATGCCAGGAGTAGGGCAGGCTTGGGTGTTCTTCCAACCCTACCTCTGAGGGTCCCCACCCTGAGCCTCACCCCTCCACCCCTCAGCTTTCCTTTCTGCACTGAAGTAGTGCCCACACCCCTCTCCTGTGTCTGAGGGTCCCCAGAGGAGGGGTTGTGTGGGCAGGGAACACAGCACCCAGCCTGTCCAACCTAATTCCTCTCCCTCTTCCCTTGCTGTGGCCCGAACAACACCAGCAGGCAGGAGTTGCCATTGGTCCCATTTTCCAGAAGAACAGAGTCTCGAGATGGGGGATGGCTTGTCTGAGGTCCCACCAGAAGCATGGGGTGGAGATGGGATTTGAATGCAGGTCTATGCTCGGGATGTTTCACCGTGAGAGGTAGAGGGGAGATCCAGAGAGAAGCAGAAGATCAGGGAGGGAAGGGGTGAGGCCTCTCCCTGCAGCCACTTCTCACATCCTGGGTTAACGATCCACTCAGGTGGGGCCCGAGTCGGGCCAAAGTCCCTTCCCGGGGCCCCAACACCCATTTTCAAGGTCTCACGGGCCACAGAGGCAGCGTCGGAGATGGGGAGACAGAGACAGAGGGCGGGGCGGGAGACAACCAGGGGGAGGCCAGGTGTTTCGAAGACGGAGACCGAGGGAGAGAACCCGGGGCGACGCTGCGTGCCCTCTGGGCAGGTCCGGGGTGCAGCCCCCATACCCCGCCCTCTGTATCCCCAAAGCCTCCCTTTCCGCCTTCTGTGACTCAGTGACCCGGACTCAACCCCAGCGGCTGCCCCGCCCCTAGGGAAATCCGGGAAAGCCCCGGACCTTCGGGGCCCCACCCCGGGGCGGGGAGAGGGAGAGGAGGGGAGGGGAGGAGACCGGGAAGAAGCCCGCCTCCCTACTCCCTCCCTGAGTCATTCCCCCAACCCGCCCGGCCTGTTCCCCACCCACCAACCCCCCTCGAGGTGGGAGGAGGTAGGGGGAAGTCAAACTGCCTCCTCCGCTCCAGCAGCCCCTGGCCTCGGTCGCTCGGACTCTGGCCTGGTGTCTGCGTCTCTTGCTATCTCTCTCTCTCTCTCTCTCTCAATATCTCTGCGTCTATCTCCAGATCTCTTTCTCTCTGTGCAGCTAGGATTTTCTGAGCACCCCCGTGCCCCGCGGGCCCCCGCTGGGTGCAGAGACACAATCAGTGGAGCGCTCCCCACCCCCACCCCACCCCAGCAACGTTAGACCCACAGCTGATGAGGCACGTGGAGTGGCAGAGATGGAAGAGGGCAAGGAGAGGAATCGTTCCTGGGCGCCTGCCGAGTGCCAGTCCCTGCCCCGGGTGTGTCTCTTCACTCCCACTAAGGAGGAAACGGCTCAGAGAGGGGAAGTGTTTGACCAAGGTTACCCAGCGAGGAAGTGGAACCAATGGAATCGGGATTCGAACCCGCGTCCCAGAGATGCCAAGGCCTCCTGAGAGGCAGAGAAGCAGACAGCAACTGAGAGACAGAGAGATGGTGAGAGACACAAAGAGACGAAAGAGAGTCAGAGACAGAACACTCGGAGACAAACGCGGGGGTGCGGAGACACCTACTCAGACAGAAGAAGCAGAGAGACAATCACAGACTCAGAGACAGAGAGACTGAGAGACAGGGCCAGAAAGGCAAAAACAGGCAGGGAGACTGAGAGCTGCCCTAAGCAGCAGGGGTGGGCACCCCAAGCCCCAACCCCCGACCCCGCCTCCTCTCCCCCACCCTGCCTTTCCTCCCCCTCCCGCGCCGAGGCCTGGCTGCCCCGGACGCCGCGGGCCGGGAGGGGGCGAGAGGGGCGCGGCGCGGGCGGGGCGCACGGCGGGCTGCAGCGCAGGACGGCGGGAGCAGCGGCGGGTCCAGGAAACCCCTGGGGCGTACGGGTGGCCCCGGGGGGGCCGGGGGCGGGGAGGCGGGCTGCCGGCACCGCCCCGGCCGACAAAAGTCCCTTCAGTTCAGCCGGCTGCAGGGGAAGTCCCGGCGCCCGGCAAAACCACCCTCGGGTGCAGCCGAGCCGAGCCGCGCTCCGGCCGCCGTCCCCGGCGGCCCCATGCCCCGATGCCCCGCGGGGGCCATGGACGAGGGGCCCGTGGACCTGCGCACCCGGCCCAAGGCCGCCGGACTCCCAGGCGCTGCGCTGCCGCTCCGCAAGCGCCCGCTGCGCGAGCCCTCCCCAGAGCCTGCTGCTCCCCGCGGCGCTGCGGGCCCTGCAGTCCCCCTGGACCCTCTGCGCGGCGGCTGCGACCTGCCCGCGGTCCCCGGGCCCCTCCACAGCTTGGCCAGGCCAGAGGCGCTTTACTACCCTGGTGAGTGGTCCCCGAGGGTCCGGGCCGGGTGGGGGCCACACAGAGCATAGGGTCACCAGAGCCAGGAGACAGAGCTCAGGACACCAACCTGTGTCTCTCGGGGGACTTGGGGAACAAGAGAATATAACCCCAGGTCTCAGGGAGACAGATAGGAGATCATCAGGAAGCTGTGCCTTGGGTCCCAAGGGATCTGGGGATTTGAGGGTCCCAGGGATCTGGGGATTTGAGGATCCTGGGGGACAGAGCCCAGGGGCTGAGTGACATGGGGGGGCCAGGGACAGTGCCCAGTAGTACAGATATGGGTGTGTCAGGGAATCAAAGGACACTGCCTGGTGTCCTAGGGACAAAAAATTACAAGCTCTTAAGCCAGATATGTAGGGTTATGAAGAAACTGAGCTGGGCTGGAGAAACTGGGGTTCCTGGTATCCTGATATTAGAATCAAAGGGTAACAGATTGGGGTTCTAAGGAGACAGATACTGAGGATCTCAGGATGTCACAATCTCAGGAACCAAGATATTTGGAGACATGGGCATTATGAGAACAGATACAGGGTTCCGATCACCCCGGTATCTGGGATCACAGGATCCAAGGAAATGAACCAGAGCTCCAGGGACCCACATACCATGGGGTCTTGAGGAGCCAGGGGAACAGAGACTGGGGTTCTGGGTACTCAGGTATGTGGGGCTACAAGTGATCAGGATCCTATTTGGGGGTCAAGGTCAGGTGGCCGTGAGATCAGGGGACTGAGGAGCCTAAGACTGGGTAATTCTCAGACTCGATACTTTAGAGCCAGAATGAGAGATTCAGGGGTCTCCAGACATAAAGCCTCAGGGCCCCAAGGTCTGGTATTGGAGATACCGGGATCAGCAGATGATGGAGAAGGCCACCCACTCTTCTCTCCATCCCATCTCCATCCCTGAGCTCAAGGAAGGGGCATCCCCTACCACAGCTGTGGCCACGTCACCATCCCCAATTGACCCCCAAAGCTGCAGAGAGCTCTTCTCCAGAGCCCCAGAACTTTATGTAGTTTCTGCACCTTCCACCCCATCAGCACAACAGCTGGCGAGCCTCAAGCTATATGTGTCAGTTCTGTCACAGCCTCCCGGCTTTTTCCATTCCCAGAGTGAGAACACAGGCCTCAGTTTTCCCCGTCTGTGTGATGGGTTGGTATGGATTTGCCGGCTGCCGTGCATGGTCCCCCCACTTTTTTTTTTTTTTTTTTTTTTTTTGGAGGCAGAGTTTTGCTCTCTCACTCAGGCTGGAGTGCATTGGTGTGATCTCGGCTCACTGCAACCTCCACCTCCTGGGGTCAAATGATTCTTGTGCCTCAGCCTCTGAGTAGCTGGGATTACAGGTGTGCACCACTACGCCTGGCTACTTTTTGTATTTTTAGTAGAGACAAGGTTTCACCATGTTGCCCAGGCTGGTCTTGAATTCCTGACCTCAGGTGATCTACCCGCCTCAGCCTCCCAAAGTGCTGGGATTACAGGCGTGAGCCACCAGGCCTAGCTTGCCGTGGCCGCTTTTAATAGTTTGGTCCAAAATTAGCCGTGCATGGTGGTGGGCATCTGTAATCCCAGGTACTCAGGAGGCTGAAGCAGGAGAATCACTTGAACGTGGGAGGCAGAAGTTGCAGGGAGGCAAGATCTCGACACTGCACTCCAGCCTGGGGGACAGAGCGGGACTCCGTCTCAAAAAAAAAGAGACAAAAACAGTTTTAACAGGCTTCTGGTGCCACCTCTTCTCTCCCTCCACTCTCCATTCATCCCACACCCTGTCCCCAGCTCTTCATCTGTCCCTCAACACCCTCAGCCACAAAACCACTCCACAGGCAGGCCCTGGGCTTCCCCGCTAGGTGAGGATGGGTGCTCCCTGTGTTCTTAAGGGACTCTTTGTCTGGTTGGAGTCTGGGGTCAGAAGATAAGTGACAGTGAAGGTGACCAGCCCTGGATGGGGAGAGGAAGCTGCTGGAGCCCAGGGGAAGGATGTGGAAGGGAGTTTGTTCTAGGCCCTGAGAACCCCATATGGGATGCAAAAGGGACCCAGGAGAAAGGGCAGGTGACACCACAGGAGCAAAGACCTGGAAGTGGGGATGGGGTTGAGGGTCTGTGGGTGTGGCCTCACTCATGTCCCTTCTCTGTACCCCATTGTCCAGGAGCCTTACTGCCCCTGTACCCTGCTCCAACCATGGGCTCCCCATTTCCTCTGGTGAACCTGCCTACACCCCTGTACCCCATGATGTACTCCATGGAACATCCCCTTTCTGCTGACATCGCCATGGCTACCCGTGCAGATGAGGATGGAGACACGTGAGTGACAGCCCCCTATTATGGGGAGGGGAGGCTGGGGAGGCCGGCCCTCCATAACACAGGGCCACTCAGCTCCCGGTGGACCTGAGTCAGAACTCAGTCTCCACCGAAGGCTGTGTGACCTCAAATAAGGCCCTTCCCCTCTCTGAGCCTCAGTTTCTTCCTCTGGAGAATGGGCACCTTGAGAGCACTTACATCCTAGTACACTATTTTTTGTTTGGGTAGTTTTGTTTTGTTTTTTGTTTGAAACAGGTTTCATTCTGTCGCCCAGGCTGGAGTGCAGTGGTACAGTCTCGGCTCACTGTAACCTCCACCTCCCGTCTTGTGCCTCAGCCTCCCGAGTAGCTGAGACTTCAGGCACCCGCCACCAAGCCTGATCAATTTTTGTATTTTTTGTTAGAGACGGGGTTTCACCATGTTGGCCAGGCTGGTTTCGAACTCCTGACCTCAGATGATCTACTCGCCTCAGCCTCCCAAAGTGCTAGGATTACAGGCCAGAGCCACTGAGCCCACCCCTAGAACACTATTTTTAGAACAATGGTCTTCAGGTTTTTTATCACAATCTAAAAACAAGAAAGACCGTTCATTAATTAACTTACTATATAAATTATACATGTAAAACTCCTATCACTGGACCTGGCGTAAATGTTGAGTGTTTGTTAATATTATTATTACTTTATCTCAAACCCAGCACACACACGCTTGATAAACTTGAAATTAAAATTGCACAAAATGGGCTGGGCGCACCTGTAATCCTAGCACTTTGGGAGGCTGAGCCTCAAGTGATCTACCTAATCACTTGAGATCAGGAGTTTGAGACCAGCCTGGCCAACATGGTGAAACCCAGTCTCTACTAAAAATACAAATCTGAACCAGGCGTGGTGGCGCGGGCCTGTAGTCCCAGCTACCTGGAGGCTGAGAAAGGAGAATCGTCGGAATCCAGCAGGCAGGCTCTGTGGTGAGCCAAGATCTCACCACTGCATTCCAGCCTGGACAACGAGTGAGACTCTGTCTCACAAAAAAAAAAAAAATGCACAAAATGAAACAATACTCAGCCTTACTCTGCAGAATCTACTTTGACATCTTCTTTTCTTTTTCTTTTCTGAGACAGGGTCTCAATCTGTCACTCAGGCTGGAGCACAGTGGTGCAATCATAGCTCACCGCAGCCTCGACCTCTTGGGCTCAAGTGATCCTCCTGCCTCAGCCTTCTGAGTAGCTGGGACCACAGGCACTCCCCCTACACCTGGCTAATTTTTGTTTTTTTTTTTGTTTTTGTAGAAACGTGGGGGTCTTGCCAGGTTGCCCAGACTAGTCTCAAACTCCTGGGCTCAAGCGATCCTCCCTCCTCGGCCTCCCGGCGTGCTGGGGAACAGGCGTGAGCCACGAGCCCGGCTTCCCGGCTTTGCTCGCCATTTTCTATTCTAGTCGACTTCGTTGTTTCATGGTCACAGCCCACTACATTAATTTGACAATCCCCTAAATTGATTTCACAACCCCCGTGGTTTATCACCACCTGCAGTCGGAAGAACACGTTTGTGATTCTGCTGAGAAATCCCTCATGGGAGGGTTTAGTCTGTGCCTAGCACATAGGAAGCACTCGCTACAACCGATCATCGTGGTTATTATTCTATTGATCTGGGTTTGCATCTCAGCGTGGCCACTTTCTTCTCCCTCTGTGCCTCAGTTTCCCTCTCTGCAAAAACAGGAACCATCATGAGGGTCTGGGGCAGGCGGGAAGAAATGATGCAATCTATACAGAGTGCTTATGTGAGAATTCGTTTGGGAACTGGAAACCACAGGTAGAGATGAACAGAGAAAGAGCAGGGGGCTGTTCCGCCACTGGGCCACTGAGAGACTTCAGGTCCTGAGCCTGTTTCCCTATTTGGAAACTGGGTCTCATCGCAGCCCCTATCACAGTTAGGATTCAGGATTCAGTGAGATCTTGTATGTATTTATTCATACAGTGCACAGAGCAGGGCTGGGCAAACAGTAAACGCTCAATGCATGGAAATGGGTCGTGTTTGAGCAGAGCTGCCCGGTGGCTGGTTGCAGGTCGTCCTGAGAACCCAAGCTGGAGAAAGTGCCCGAGATTATAAAGAGCTAATAAAACCTAGTTCCCTCCGTAGTTCTGGGTCTCTCTGGGGGGTCATCGATGAAACGGGCTTAATTAGTCTGCAGGGCTGAGCTGTCCACGTCGCTGAAAAGCAGGGTGGGAGCTAGAGGCCACCCGGTCCACCAGTTTCCAGCCCCGGGCCCTCCCCCCACCCTCCCTCCCCGACTCTTCGACTCTCCCCCTAGGCAAACACTTCTGCCTCAGCTGCCTGCTGGGGGAAATCCCTTCCCGCAGAACTTGACCGCAACCCAGCTGCTCTGCCACCCCCACGTCAGCACCCGTCACTCAATCGCAGCCTCCCCCCTCCTGGCGCTTCCTCCAACCTTAACCCCTTCCGCTGGGGCTGAGACTTTACCGGAACGGGCAGCGGCCCGGCCCCAGCCTGCGCCACCGGCCCCACTTCACACTCGAGGGGGAGGGCAGTGGGGGCGAGGAGGGCGGGGGACGCTAAGTCTGGGTCCCCGCAGAAGCCAAAGGTTGGGAGGCTGGACTTCCATCTCACAGGGTGGTACCAGCCTTGGGGCATTTGGACTCCCAAGAGGTCGGGGACTGGGCAGCTAGAAACCTGGGGAGGGGGCGGGGTGACGGTGGATGTTCTGATTCTCAGAGGGCAGAAGTTGGGGGACTGTATTCCTTAATCTCCGAGGGGATGAGGGGCAGCTTGGCAGCTTGGAGACCTGGCACTCAGAGGGGCCTTAGGGGCAGGACCAGATACAGAAATTTGCAGCGTCCCTGGTTCGAAACAAGAATTTCAAGACAGCGGCAGCAGGACATTCTAAGCACTGGACTGGTGAAACTGATCACGCCAAGGGGCCTGAAAGTCTGTGTCCCCAAAGGGATGGGGTTGGGGCGCTGTATTTCTGGGTCTCTGAGGGGACAAGGACAGGCAAAGTAATTTGGGATCCTGGAGCTCCGAAGGACTGCGGAAGCCCTTATTCGCTTTAAGACGCGTTAGGGCTATTTCTGGCTCCCAAGAGATGTCGGGAGTGGATGCCGGGATAAGGGGGACTTGCAGCCAGCTGGAGTCTGAACCCTGAGGGGTGGAGTTCCAGAGGGGCCCGCAGGCTGGAGGACTCGGGATTATGCGCCCCCCGACACACACACACACAACTCAAGGGAGCTAGGTCTTCTTGGGCTGAGTTCCCCCTTCCCCCGCCCCATTCTAGGATGGAAGTTGGGGTGCCGGGGGTGGCCAGGGTAGATCCCCGGCGAGACAGGCTTCCCTCCCCCGGGAGCAGGAAGCGGAGCCCCGCCCAGCAGACCTGTTACTGGAAGTCCGAGGGCTGGGTCGCCCCTCCCGTCCCCACTTCCTCCAGCCCCGCCCCACCCCCTGCGGCCCGCGCGTTTATGGGAACTCGGCCTGGACGGTTTCTCTGAAATCATTCGCTCCTTCTGCCCTCACTTAACCTCGGCTACCCGAGAGGGACCCAGGCCAGGCGTCCTGGGAAATGGTCCCGGCCCAGGTCCCGCCCCTCCAGCAACATTTTTTTTTTACATTTGGCTTTCACGGATTAGGAGCAGGGTTCAGCAGTTCACCTGCACGATCTCACCCTGGCTTGTGGGCGCTGTACTTTACATAAGAGAAAACTGAGGCTTCGAAAGGCCCCCATGGCTTCGCCCTAGCACGCAGGGAGGCTAGGAGGGGTTGTGGCCCAATCTGCAACTCTGGCCCCAGGATTTCTGCACTGCCGTCAGAATCACCTGGGAGGCTGGTTTAAACTGGATTCTACAGACACATTTCATAAGAGAGGCGGGTGGTGGTGAGAAAGGAATTACTGAGTAAACAGACTTTAAATAAAGAACGTGCAGGCCGGACGAAGTGGCGCACGCCTACAACCCCGGCACTTTGGGAGGCTGAGGCAGGTGGATCACAAGGTCAAGAGATCAAGACCATCCTGGCCAACATGGTGAAACCCCATCTCAACTAAAAATACAAAGACTAGCTGGGCACGGCGGTGGGCGCCTGTAATCCCAGCTACTCAGGAGGCTGAGGCAGGAAAATCGCTTGAACCCAGGAAGTGGAGGTTGTAGTGAGCCGAGATCGTGTGCCACTGCACTCCAGCCTGGCAACAGTGCAAGACTCCATCTCAAAAAAACAAAAAAAAAAATCATGCAGCCCACCTCTGGCCCTCCACTCTGTCCCTCAGCCCCTGCAAACACATACAGGCACGCGCGCGCACACACACACACACACACACACCAGTGTCCGAATAGCTGTTCTGGGTTGGGGTCTTTGGAAACTGAGCAGGAAGTTTATTGGAAATGCTCTCCATCAACACCTGTGGGATGAAGGAAGCCCATTTGGGCAGAGGGAGGTGGTGAGCTGCTGTGTCGTCTCCACACGGCCTCAGCCGTCCCACAGAGAATACTGAAGCTGGAGTGGCCTTCGGCATTAAGGCCAGGAGGCAAGGCCTTCTTTGCTGACATTAACCAGTGACTGGATCCCATTAGAGGGCAGCTGCCCTTGATCCACATGGAGTGTGACCTTGGGTGAGCGGCTCTCTTCAGCTGAGAGCAATTCCCAAATTGTCTGAAAGCTGACGATCGTCCCAGAAGCTGAGGGAGTGAGTCCTTCAGTCTGGAAGGGGGTTCTGGGCTGTACAACCTGCCTCGCCAACCCAATTTGTCCTCACCTCACTATTTTTACTTTATTTATTTTTTTGAGATGAAGTCTTGCTCTGTTGCCGAAGCAGGAGTGCAGTGGCATGATCTTGGCTCACTGCAACCTCTTCCCTCCCAGGTTCAAGAGATTCTCCTGCCTCAGCCTCCCGAGTAGCTGGGACTACAGGCGCATGCCACTGCATCTGGCTGATTTTTTATTTTTAGTAGAGACAGGGTTTCACCATGTTAGCCAGCCTGGTCTTGAACTCCTGACCTCAGGCGATCTCCCAGCTTCGGCCTCCCAAAGTGCTGGGATTACAGGCATGAGCCACCCCACCCAGCCACCTCCCTTTTAGTCAAAACTTTTGTTCCAGGCTGGGTATGGTGGCTCATGCCTATAATCCAGCACTTTGGGAGGCTGAGGCAGGAGGATCACTTGAACCCAGCAGTTATAGACCTGCCTGGGCAACATAGTGAGACCCTCTCTCTACAAAAAATCAAAAATAAGCCAGGGTTGGCAGTGCATGCCTATAGTCCCAGCTACTCAGGAGGCTGAGGAGGTGGGAGGATCTTGAGCTTCGGAAGTCAAGCCTGCAGTGAGTCATGATTGCGACACTGTGCTCAACTTGGGCAACACAGCAAGACCCCATCTCAAAAAAAAAAAGTTTTTGTTCCTCATAGGCAGCCCTTTATCTCTTAGGTTGGAGGCTGATACGTAGTCACAACTAGCAGAGACCTTCATAGCACCTAGTTCGTCCCCATTCATTTCACAGATGAGAAAACTATGGCCTGGAAAGGGATTGGAACTTGGTTACCAGCTTCACAGATGGCCCAGGTGATCACTAAGATGGATTCATTAATTCAGAGCATGTTTGTGGAGCATCTGCCCAGCATTAGGCACCATTCCAGGCACTGCCAAGGGCATGACGCAGGCAAAACACACCTATAATCCCAGCATTTTGGGAGGCCAAGGCGGGTGGATCACCTGAGGTCAGGAGTTCAAGACCAACGGCCAACATGGTGAATCCCTATCTCAACTAAAAATCAAAAAATCAGCAGAGCATGGTGGCAGGCACCTGCAATCCCAGCTACTCGGGAGGCTGAGGCAGGAGAATCGTTTAAACCTGGGAGGTGGAGGTTGCAGTGAGCCAAGATCGCAGCATTGCACTCCAGCCTGGCAGACAAGAGCGAGATTGAGTCTTAGAAAACAAAAAACAACAACAACAAAAAAAACGCCCTGCCCTGAAAGAGACGCCATTCTATGGGGGAGATTCAGACAGAAAACACACACTGTACAGTGTGTCAGATGATGACTGGGGAAAAGGAGCAGGGGGAGGGAGAGGGAGCAGCTGCTATACCATCTTAGCAGAGGCCCAAATGAGCGGGAGGAACCCTGCAGACATCTGGGGAACACTGTTCCAGGCAGAGGGAACAGCCAGTGCAAAGACCTTGGGAGGCAAGTGTGCTTTGTACATGGGAGAAACAGCAAGGAGCCTAGTCTGGTCCAGGAGAGGAAGGAGATGGGGCCAAAGGGGATTGATGAGGATGAGACAAGATCACATAGGGCCTACGGGCCACGGTAAGGACTGGGGGATTCATGATCTGACTCAGGTTCTAAAAGGGCCCCTCTGGGCCGGGTGTGGTAGCTCACGCCTATAATCCCAGCACTTTGGGAGGCTGAGGCAGTCGAATCACTTGAGGTTAGGAGTTCAAGACCAGCCTGGCCAACATGGTGAAACCCCATCTGTGCTAAAAATAGAAAAATTAGGTGGGCATGGTGGTGCATGCCTGTAATCCCATCTACTCGGGAGGCTGAGGTTGGATGATAGCTTGAACCTGGGAGGCAGAGATTGCAGTGAGCCAAGATAGTACCACTGCACTCCAGCCTGGGCAACAGAGTAAGACTCCATCTTAAACAAATAAAATAAGTAGTCCCTCTGGCTGCTGTGTGGGGGACAGACAGTGGAGCACGGGTGGAAGCAGGGAGGCCATGAGAAGGGAACTAACTGTGCTAGCCCAGCAGGAAGCCAGTGGTGGCTGAACCAGGATGGAGGGAGTGGGTGGGGAGAAGTGCTTGGATACTGGGGACATTTCCAAAGTTTTCAACACATTGGAGTTAGCACTGCCAAAAGCATAGGGGCGAGAGGTGAGCAGTCTGTGATTCCTTCACCCCTCCCCCCACCCAGGCCTCTCCATATTGCTGTGGTGCAGGGTAACCTGCCAGCTGTGCACCAGTTGGTCAACCTCTTCCAGCAGGGGGGCCGGGAGCTCGACACCTACAACAACCTACGGCAGGTGAGGCTGGGGGCTGGGACTCCTGGGTCTGAGGGAGGAGGGGCTGGGGGCCTGGACTCCTAGATCTGAGAGAGGAGGGGTTAGGGCCTGGACTCCTGGGTCTGAGGGAGGAGGGGTTAGGGTCTGGACTCTAAGTAGCCAGGTGCTCCAGGCTCCTGGTTCCGGGGAAAGAAGGGTTCAGTGGCCTAAGGACCTCCTAGTTGAGGAGGGAGGGGGCTGGGGACCCAGAACCCAGGTACTAGGGAAAGAGGAGGTTGGAGGCCGGGTCTTCTGGGTCCCAGGGAAGGAGGAGCACGGAGAGGCGTCTCGGGTTTCTGTTCCTGGGTGAGACTGCAGGGATTGATAAGGAGTCAGGGTTCAGAAAACCTGAGGGAGGCGGGACTGGAGAGCAGGGCTGGACACAGGTCCCTCACCGTCACCGTTCCGCAGACACCGCTCCACCTGGCTGTGATCACCGCATTACCGTCTGTGGTCCGGCTCCTGGTGACGGCTGGTGCCAGTCCCATGGCGCTGGACCGCCATGGCCAGACGGCCGCCCACCTGGCGTGCGAGCACCGCAGCCCGACCTGTCTGCGAGCCCTGCTGGACAGCGCAGCTCCGGGCACGTTGGACCTGGAGGCCCGCAATTACGACGGTAAGCACCTACCGCGGGGCATGGCTGGGCTGTCCAGCGGACCTGGAGTCCATCTGTGGCCGCAAAACCCCAGGCCTAGGTTTCACCAAGCCTTCCCCTCCCTCAGGGCTCACCGCCCTGCACGTGGCAGTGAACTCTGAGTGCCAAGAAACCGTGCAGCTCTTGCTGGAGCGCGGCGCCGACATCGACGCAGTGGTGAGGCGCACTAGGAGCTGTGAGGGATGGGGGCTTTAGCAGGGGCGGGGCCTTCGCTGGGTGGGGTCTTTTTTGCGAGGGCGGGGCCAGTGTGGGGTTGGCGTGGGAGAGCGCCCGGGTGGGGCCGGGCTTGGAATATCGGACCCATGAGAGAGGCTTGGACCCCGCGAATGGGATGCGGACGGGATGCGGGCCACGGGCTGCTGGAGCAGAGCTTGGAGAGACTCAAAGACCTTCCCTCCCCGCCGCAGGACATTAAGAGCGGCCGCTCCCCGCTCATCCATGCCGTGGAAAACAACAGCCTTAACATGGTGCAGCTGCTGCTGCAGGTACGTACAGCCTCCCTGAGCCTCGTGCCCACGCCATCCCCTGACCCCTACCCGGCCCTGGTCCCAGCCCCTAGCGCTGACCCCGCCTTCCAGTTCTGGCTCCGGCTCCAGCTCCGCGTCCAGCTCTGACCCTTCCTTTAAGGCTCCCGCTCTCTCAGCCCTCGGACTCCACACCAGTGGCTGCAAACATGTCCCATTCCTCCCCTGCCTTCTCAACGGCCTAGGCCCTGCCCTGCGCTGGCCTGGCCGACCCCGCCTTCCAGCTAGGCCCTGTCCCCGCACTGTGCTTCACCCCGTCAATTCCCCCCACCACCCCCGACTCCTTGGGGCGCAGGCCTCGGTGTCCAGCTCCGGTTCATTCAGCGCCGCCAGCGCAGTCCCGCTAGGCCCGCCCTTGCCTCTCGCTCCCACCTTCCTGTGACCCCACCCCGATCCGGTGCTGCTCCACGTACCGGCCACCCACCCGGGCCCCAGCCTCTGTTCCCCTACCACTGGCGACCCGCGAGCCCCCCTGACCCGGCCCTCTCGTCCCGCAGCACGGCGCCAACGTGAACGCGCAGATGTACTCGGGCAGCTCCGCGCTGCACTCGGCGTCCGGCCGCGGGCTCCTCCCGCTGGTGCGCACGCTGGTCCGCAGCGGCGCTGACAGCAGCCTCAAGAACTGCCACAATGACACGCCGCTCATGGTGGCGCGCAGCCGCAGGGTGAGCCGGTGCGGCTGGGGGCATGAGCCTTGCACATCTGTGTCCGCGGGCAGGTGGCAGACGAGTGTGCCAGGGCACAGAGGTGTGAGTGTGCCTGTGCTGTTGCTTGGAGGGGAGTGGGTGAGCCTCTGAAAGTGCGGGTGTGAGTTCCAGACATGAGAGACTGGCACCAAGAAAGGAAGTGCCTTGCCTATCTTTTCCTGCTGAGAAATGGAGAGGCCCCCACCTGGATCCAGCGAGCTAAGAGGGATAGAAGGAGGGAGGGCTGTGAGGCAGGGGTGGCTCTGTGGTGACGCCCATCTTCCTACAGGTCATCGACATCCTGAGGGGGAAGGCCACCCGGCCTGCTTCCACCTCCCAGCCAGACCCCTCCCCTGACCGGAGCACCAACACCTCCCCAGAGAGCAGCAGCCGTCTCAGCTCCAATGGTGAGAAACCACTCCCAACCTCCAGCCCTGCCGCCTCCTCCCTCAGACCCAGGAATCCTAACCCATAGCCCCTCCTCCCTCAGACCCAGGAGTCCCGGACCCCAGCCTCCTCTCTCAGACCCAGGAATCCCAACCCATAGCCCCTCCTCCCTCAGACCCAGGAATCCCAACCCATAGCCCCTCCTCCCTCAGATCCAGGAGTCCAGGCCCCCAGCCTCCTCTCTCAGACCCAGGAATCCCTACCCACAGCCTCTTCTTTCTCAGACCCAGGAGTCCAAGCTCCCAGACCCCTCTTTCCTCAGACCTCCAGCCTCCTACTCACCCAATCTTCTGACCCCAACTGGGCTCTCACCCCAGCCCCTCATGCTGACCTCCCCTTCCAGTTGTGGCTACCACTCCTGCTCTGTGTCCAGCTCTGACCCTTCCTTTAAGGCCTCATTCTCTCATCCCCTTGGACTCCATGCCCCTGGCTTCAAACCTGTCCCATTCCTCCCCTGCCCCCAAACAGCCTAGGCCACACCCTGTGACCGCCCCCGGCCCCTCCTCCCTCAGACCCCAGTCCCTCCTCCCTCAGACCCAGGAGTCCAGACCCCAGCCCCTGTTCTCTGGGTCTAGCCTCTCACCACCCTCCCGCTTCTGTCTCTCTTCCTTCCACAGGTCTTCTCTCTGCATCACCATCCTCCTCACCCTCCCAGTCTCCCCCCAAAGACCCCTCTGGATTCCCCATGGCTCCTCCCAATTTCTTCCTTCCTTCCCAATCTCCACCTGCCTTCCTGCCCTTTGCTGGGGTCCTCCGAGGCCCTGGCCGGCCAGTGCCCCCCTCCCCAGCTCCAGGAGGCAGCTGAGAGGGATGGGGGGGCAGATCTTGGACTCATGAGGAGGGGCCCCCTGCTCTGTGGGGTCAACCCTTCTGGAAACTGTGAAGATCTCACTCTGCCCCCCCCCATCTTCGGGACCAGGATTTGCACAGAAGCACATGCACCTCCCCATATACCCCTCTTCTGAGCACAGATGTTCCCCCATCTCGCCCCCTGCCCAGGACTCTGACCCTGTTACTCTCAGGCACCAGTCCCTGTCCAGAATTCCACCCTCATCTTCCATTTCCTTGTCCTCTCCCAGAGCTGGTGGACCCAGGGAACAGCCAGCCACTCCCCTGCACTCTATCAGATCACTGAGGAGGGGGGAGGTGGGCCGTCACAGGCACAGATCATGATGTAAATTATTAAGCATTTTGGTTTGATTTCTTTTGTAATAAACTATTTTTGTACCATATCCCTTGGGTGCCTGGGCTCTTTCATGAGATGGACCTGGAGGAAGTGCATTCGCGTGTGTGCACACCCGCGCTGAGTCCAGCTGACTCCCAGAGCGATGCTGTGAGACTCAGACAGGAGCTTGTCTAATCAGTCTCCTGTGTGTCACTCCGGGACTCCTGGTGTGTTTGGTTATGAATGCTGCCATCATTGTCACTGTGCCATTGTTTCTAAGGAGGACATGATGTGATACCTTTTTTTTTTTCAAGATGAAGTTTCACCATATTGGCCAGGCTGGTCTCGAACTCCTGACCTCAAGTGATCCACGCTCCTCGGCCTCCCACAGTACTGGAATTACAGGTGTGAGCCACCACACCAAGCCCAAATTTCTTTTTTTTTTTTTTTTTTTTTGAGACGGAGTTTTGCTTTTATTACCCAGGCTGGAGTGCAATGGCACAATCTCGGCTCACTGCAACCTCCGCCTCCTGGGTTCAAGCAATTCTCCTGCCTCAGCCTCCTGAGTAGCTGGGATTACAGGCGCGCACCACCATGCCCAGCTGATTTTTTGTATTTTTAGTAGAGACGGGGTTTCACCTTGTTGACCAGAATGGTCTCGATCTCTTGACTTCGTGATCCACCCGCCTCAGCCTCCCAAAGTGCTGGGATTACAGGCATGAGCCACTGCACCCGGCTCTTTTTTTTTTTTTTTTTTTTTGAGACGGAGTCTGCCTCTGTGGCCCAGTGAAGTGGTACAATCTCCCCTCCCTGCAATCTCCGCCTCCCAGGTTCAAGTGATTCTCCTGCCTCAGCCTCCCCAGTAGCTGGGACTATAGGTGCGTGCCACCACGCCTGGCTAACTTTTGTATTTTTAGTAGAAACGGGTTTTACCATATTGGCCAGGCTGGTTTCAAAGTCCTGACCTCGTGATCTGCCCGCCTCAGCCTCCCAAAGTGCTGGGATTACAGGCATGAGCCACTGCGCCCAGCCCCAAATTTCTTCATTTTTTTTGACACAGTATCGCTCCATCACCCAGACTGCAGATCAGATTTCAACATGAGGTTTTAAAGGGAAAAATATTCAAACCACAGCACTGAGGTGTTTTGGTTTTTGATTTTAATCTGTGGGGGCTTCTGTGGGTCTTCAGGTGAATTGCTAACAGCGGACATTAATCACCATCACTCTGCAATGTTGTTGCATCTATGGGGCCAACTGCCTTAATGACTTCCTGGATGACGTCACTGGGGTCTGTGAATGGCTGTGTGTGCACACAAACACTCATGGACACGGACTTCGGGATGGATGACCTGTGTGAGCGCTGACTGGGTGGTTTGTGTGTCTTCCAGCCCGCCTGACTGGGATGCTCATGGGTCTTTCTGTTTGCAACCATGTGTCAGTGTTTCTGACCCAGACCCCGTCTCTGAAGCTGCCAGGCTTAAAGAGTATGTTATGCCCTATGCCCTCTTGCTGGCCAGGCTGGATGGCTCACACCTGCAATCCCAGCACTTTGAGAGATTGAGGCAGGAAGATCACTTCAGGTCAGGAGTTTGAGACCAGCCAACAGGGTGAAAGCCCGTTTCTACTAAAAATATAAAAATTAGCCAGGTGTGGTGGTACACACCTGTAATCCCAGCTACTTGGGAGGCTGAGGCAGGAGAATCGCTTGAACCTCGGAAGCGGGAGTTGCAGTCAGCCGAGATCACACCATTGCACTCCAGCCTGGGCGAAAGAGCAAGACTCCATCTCAAAAAAACAAAAGGCATACCTGCCATTCAGAGCACAGACCCTGGAGTGAGAACTGGGTTCAAGTCACACTCTTCCACTTCCTGGCTATGTGATGTGACCTTGATGAGGTGGCTTCATGGTCCTAAGCTCCAGTTTTCCCACCCATAAAAGTGAGGGCACAACGACAGCATCCACCTTGCACTATGTTTGACTGATATTCATGTTTGTTTGTTCTTTTGGACAGAGTCACACTCTGTCAGCCAGGCTGGTGTACAATAGCGTGATCTCAGCTCACTGCGACTTCCACCTCCCTGGTGTAAGCAATTCTGCCTCAGCCTCCTGAGTAGCTGGGATTACAGGTGTGCGTCACCACACCCAGCTGACTCTTTTTGGAGGTGGAATGTTGATCTGTCACCAGGCTGGAGTGCAACATACCAAGACCCTGCCACTGCAAAAAAAATAAATAAATTAGGTGCCTATGGTTCTAAATATTCAAAGGCTGAGAGTAGTTCGAAGCTGCGATAAGCTAAGATCATGCCACCACCCTCCAGCCTAGGCAACGGAGACAGACCCTATCTTTTAAAAAAATAAACAGCCTGAGTAACATGGCAAAGCTTGGGTAATGTGGTGAGACCCTGTCTCTACAAAAAAAAAAAATTAGCCAGCCATGGTGGCGTGCATCTATAGTCCCAGCTACTCAGGAGGCTGAGGTGGGAGGACCACTTGACAGTTAGAGATCAGGGCTGCAGTGACCTACGATTGCACCACTGCACTCCAGCCTGGGTCACAGAGTGAGACCCTGTCTCAAAAAATATAATAGATAAAAGAAGAAATATAGTACCTTTTTTGTTTTTTGTTGTGTTTTGTTTTTTTGAAACAGAGTCTTGCTGTGTCACCCAGGCTGGAGTGCAGTGGCGCAATCTCAGATCACTGCCACCTCCGCCTCCCAGGTTCAAGCGATTCTCCTTCCTCATCCTCCTAAGTAGCTGGGATTACAGGTGTGCGCCACCATGCCTGGCCAATTTTTGTATTTTTAGTAGAGATGAGGTTTCACCATGTTGGCCAGGTTGATCTTGAACTCCCAACCTCAGGTGATCCACCCACCTCAGCCTCCCAAAGTGCTGGGATTACGGCATGAGCCGCCATGCCCAGCCTATAGCAGCTTAATTAAGATGAAAGTCTATCTATCTCTCATGTAAAGGCGCAGTGAATAGTCTAGAATAGTAGCCAAGAATGTCAGAGACTGAGGCGCCTTCTGCCTGGTTGTTCTGCTGCCCTCACCTCACACCTACATTGTGTGGTCCAAAACAGCTGCTCCAGCTCCCACCGTCACATCCACATTCCGACCACTGGGAAGAAGTAACAAAAGCCAACTGTATGCCCCTACCCTTTAAAGCTACAACCCAGAAGTCATACACATCACATCCTATGTGCCCAAACTTGAGTCACATGGCCACACCTATCACAACAGAGGCTGGGAAATTCGGTTTTATCTGGGTGGCATTTACCCATTCAGCCAAAATTCAGGGGTTCTGTTACAAAAGGAAGAGGAAAGGCTGGGCATTGGTGGCTCACGCCTGTAATCCCAGCACTTTGGGAGACAGGCAGGTGGATCACCTGAGGTCAGGAGTTCAAGACCAGCCTGACCAACATGGTGAAACCCTGTCTCTACTAAAAATACAAAATTAGCTGAGCATGGTGGCTTATGCCTGTTGTCCCAGCTTCTCAGGAGGCTGAGACAGGAGAACTGCTTGAACCCAGGAGGTAGAGGCCACAGTGAGCTGAGATCGAGCCACTGCACTCAAGCTTGGACAAGACAGAGTGAGACTCTGTCTCAAAAAAAAAGAGAAGAGGAGAGAATGGCTTTTGAAGGACCACAAGTGTATCTGTCACAACCAGGGCTCCGCCACCAAATGACTAAATGACTCAAGGTGAAGTGACTTCACCACACTGTTGAGTATTTAATAAGCCTCAGTTTGGCATTTAATGAGAGTCTGGGTGTCAGGCACTTAGCACAGGACCTGGCCCGTCATCAGCCTGGCGTGTGTCGGAAGTCATCTTGTGCCTGTGGTATAGGCTTCGGGTGATGTGGCTCTTTGTGTATGAGAAACTGTCCCTGAGCCTTAGAGCTGAACCCAGCACTGAACTTGGTAAGTAACTTCTCTAAAACAAGGGATCTGGCCTCTGCACACATGGAAATCCCCTCTCTGCCTCCTAGACCTTGGGACTGGGCACGTGTCCTTCCACTCTTCCCCTTCTGCTGGAGAAACACAGACTTCGAAGATGAGGGGGAGGGTCCTGCTTGGGGTCTCCAGCCTCCCAGCCTTCACATAATTCAGCACTTACAGCCTGGCCAACATGGTGAAACCCCATCTCTACTAAAAATATAAAAATTGGCAAGGTATGGTGGCACACATCTGTAATCCCAGCTACTAGAGAGGCTGACGTAGTAGGATTGCTTGAACCCAGGAGGCAGAGGTTGCAGTGAGCCAAGATCATGCCACTGCACTCCAGCCTGGGTGACAGAGTGAGACTCTGTCTCAAAAAAAAAAATGTAAGCATTCACCTCTCAACTGCCAAAGCTCCTCTGGGTGACAGTCCCAGCATCCCGGGGACAGCTCTAATGCCAGAAGTCACACCCTCAATGCATTTCTTAGGTGTGACTTGTTCTCACCACATCCAATAAACCCAGAAAGGCAGAGAACATCTCCCCTAGACGTGTACATGAAATCTGCTAAATCCTAAATGCCTCCAACATTCAAAAAAAATGACTAGGAGTGTGAGCCCTGGCCAGGCACAGTGGCTCACACCTGTAATCCCAACCCTTTGGGAGGCCGAGGTGGGAGGACAGATTGACTCCTGGAGTTCAAGACCATCCTGGGCAACAGAAATAGATGCCGCCTCTAACCCCAAACATGGTGGCAGGTGCCTGCAGTTCCAGACACTCAGAAGGCTGAGGTGGGAGGATCACTTAAGCCCAGGAAATGGAGGCTGCAGTGAGCTGTAAGCATCCCACTGCACTCTAGCCGGAGTGACAGAGACCTGCCCCCCCCCACACACACACACACATAGGGCATGGTGGCTCACACCTGTAATCCTTGCACTTTGGGAAGCCAAGGTGGGTGGATTGGCCAGGAGTTCAAGACCAGCCTGGGCAACATGGCGATACCCCATTTCTGCAAAAAATACAAAAAATACCCAGGCATGGTGGTGCCCAGCAACTTGGGAGGCTGAGATGAAAGGGTCACTTGAACTCCGAGGCAGAGGTTGCAGCGAGCTGTGATTAAGCCACTGCACTCC